TTCTTCAAGCGATAATTTCTAAAACCTCTTAAATTGTAACATGACCTAAAAAAGCATTTTTGGGGTTGATATCGTCCTGACAATAGTAATTCGGCTATTTACAATTTTATATTTTCTCATATGACTTCTACATATACGCGATCGGTTACGAGTCTCGTACACGTGAAATGCTTTATCCGAATCGTTTGAGCTTTTCAGAAATTTTCCTACACGACAATCTGCCTGAATAAATGTCTTATTTGATATTGAGCATTTCTCCGCCAATTTCTTGAGCCCAATTGCCTAAACATTTTGTTTCCAAATTTTTGAACCTTTATAAATGAATGTCTATATGTAAGTGTTCAAGAATATTCAAAACTAAACTGAAATATATGTTGGGTGTGGGCGAAAAATTAATATCAGTCAAAAATTTGAATTTTGGGGTTGAATAAGTGGAATTTGCTTGACTGAAAGATGGTATAAATATGTCAAATTTTTAACATGAATACCGGTATTGAGCTTTTCAATATCGCTATTCGGTATTCGGTAATACCGGTGAATACCGGTACTCCAATACCGGTATTGCATGCCCTACATGGGGCGAAGTAAGGAATGAAGTCAGATTAAGTGAGATGAAATGAGTTTGAAAGAAAATGACTGAAAATCTTTAGTCAGAAATCGGGTTGACTGAGCTTTGAATGAAAAATGTTTTTTGAACACTTAAAGGGGTTAAATGGGATATTACATGCTGAAAAAAGATTGTAGAACTAATTTGATTGTAATAATTTGATTGTAACAATTTGATTGTAAAAATAATTTGCACCCATACCCACCCACCAGAATGTTTACTAAGCCAGTAACAGACTGATCAATTTATCCATACAATACTCCCAAATAGTAAATGCTGTCCCCTTATCGAAGAAGGATCCGTCCCCCATCCCCACCGCGAGGGGGGCCAAGGATTTCTCAAATTTTACAACCCACCCCGACCTCTTTCTTGTCCAGCGCGCCATTACCCCACGAAACTGTTCAGATTCCAAATATGGGAGTCGTAACGTGTGGAATAAGATGTGAATCGTGAGGAACATCTCGATACTGAGGAGGCCAAAGAAGAGCGTGGCCTGAATCGGAATTTTGGCGGAGGACGACATGACCATGTACAACGAGACAATCTCGGCCACCATGACGCCCGCCATGACGAATTGCAAGACTGGGAAGGAGTACAAGTCGTTGACGAGGTTCAGGAGGACTTGGAGGTTTCGGTATTTTCGGATGGTAACCTCAATCCCGGCGCGGTTCAGATTTCTTGAAAATTTGGGAAGAATTAATTAATTTTAATCTTTCACAAATTTAACGACATGAAAGAAACTATCTCTCATGAATTGAAAACTAGAAAGTTAATCTGATATCTATTGACGTTAAAGGATTCTTATCTTTTCTCAATCTCAGGTTTGACAGAAACATGTACATCCAAAGTGGATAAAACGCTCCTTAAAGTTGGAAAATCGTACAAATTGACCGTGGGGTTTCTCCTCTTCGACTGCAAATACTTATCTCTGTCAAACGTGCATTGGGAGATCGTGTATTTTATAAAGTTCAAATTAATTAAATTGATGATAAATTTCTCAAACTTAGAATTTAATCGCTCTGAAACCTCAATTAAAAGTAAGGTGTGCAGTTATCTTATCTGAATTTGCGTAAAGGGTGGTGAGGCAACTTGATACTAAATAATTTGTACAAGTTTTTAAAAACCGCGTAAATTTGTAGTTACCTTGCGACCACGTCGAAGTATATTTTACAAAGCCCGGCCGGGTATGAATTCAGGGTTAGAATGGTCATGACCGTGCCTGCCTGAAGCCACCACATGTGCCCAGACATCAGACCAGCGGTCAACCTCATCCAGAGGGGGACAGGTCCACCCACATAGTTCCACTGGGAACACTGCGGAATAACGGAAGTGACGGCTTGAGGGAGGCAGGGGTACGCCCATGAAAATAGAAAGGCTCCAGGAGGAAGGGTAAATATTGCGAGGTACACGGCCCCGATGACGATGATGAACTTCCACTCGACGTAACGAGCAGCTCCTGCATGTTAATTAATTGCCTTACAATGGAGGTGTTTCAGATGTAAAACGCAGGATCAGATTTATGCACATGGGACCAATTCTATTTTATTGCCCAGGGCAAAGGAGGATGTCCATATTTTTGTTATTATTTTTCATAATTTGAGCTCGAAGTTCGAATTCTAATCCAGCCTCGGATTTTCAAAATACTGCCTATTATAGTGCGAATTATAAACTCGAGGACTATTTAGTCTCTTCAAATTGATTTGTGTGACTCAAAAAACCTCCTGTCATACTATTTATTTGTGAATTTAAAAGCTCATAGGAATTTATAGATTTTCAAAACTGACCAAAAATTCTTAAACTCAAGCACTTCGAACGAAACATGTTATCTAATTTGTTGGTATTTTTCTGGGGTCAAAATTTCATACTAATCCCACAGTATCAAATACTAGAGTATCAGCCCGTCTCCTGCGGAGGGGGAGAGTGGCTGTGATTCTCTAAATTCCACAAATTGACGTTATTTCTTTCTCTTCCGTCACGCAAAATTACTTTTACTTCCGATTCCTACATACATTTCGAGCATATACTTTAGCGAGATGACCGTTTACCTTCTCTCAAAGCTAGTAGTTCCACACGGCAATTCATCTCCATCAAGGCTGCGACTTCATCCTCTCTCGAATAGAGGATTAAAGAACCCCAAAATATGAGCCAGCCCACAATTAAGAAGTACCACATCATGGTCGATTTCCACTCATTCTCGACCTCCCCGCTGTATCGGTAAACATGGATGGAATCCGTGGTCACGTGGGAGGCCAGGTTGGCCAAACCCAGGACAAAAAAGACCGTTTGAAGGCGGTGATGCCTCGTGTGTGCGGTGGGTATGCCTGTCCCATCTTTCGAAGTGGTGACCACCACGTGCAAAATGTGCGACCACGTGGTCAATCGCAAGATGGAACTTATGTCGTAAATATAATTTGGAATGGTATATTTTCCTTTGAAGAAAAGGCGGATATTTCGAAGTATGTGATAACGCAAAGTTCGGGTTATATCGGAACCAATTTTACGTAGTTTGTAATCCTTCTGTGGGAAAAGATTCGTTTCCGAAAGCGACATTAGGATAAGACGACCGTAATTGGTAAGGTGGTGATTGTTTAACTAGTAGAAAAATGGTGTAAAATCTTTACAGATCGAAGTATGATGTACTTACAAGACTCTGGTAATCTCGGAAATTACCGGATAGTAATATGGTAATGAACAATTTGCATATATACCACCGAGAAACAAACTGTTAATTGAGTACCAAATCAATACCTGCACGAAGCATGTTTGAGACTACCAGACTTTCAGCTGTGTCCAGGACGTAGCCAAATATCGTACTTACTACATTTTCAACTTTAAATCACGAATTCGTTTCCAGTTGGAAGACTTTTAACAAATGAAAAGATAATTTTAATCAAATTTTTTAAACTTTGATCTGTTGTTTTCTTATTACTTTATAATCACGCAGTATGTATGAAGGGATTTTTCATTTTAGAAAAACCAATTTTATATACCTAGGGAACGTCCATATATTAAGAAATCAGGAAAAGCCCAGTTTCGGACTACACGTTAACCCCTCCCTTGTCCTACTCATGTTAAGCTTATCACGATTAAGATAAGCAACTCAAAACTACCCCCCCCCCACCTTTTTGTCGACGTAATATATGGACGTTCAATTACCGTTATCAATAAAAAAGTCGATATTTCATTAAATATTTTTGTATAAATAAGCACAGAAATATGTATGAATTTAGACAAATACTTGCAAATTAACTCAGACCATCGGACCGATGTTATGAAAAATAATAAGAGTGACGCAACACCAGATTCTCTTTATAACTCATCATTTAATATGTATGAACTGAACACAGGAAATTAAAACCATATGGACAAACGAGGTTGTAAAATAAACCGTCCTAAAGGAGTAGCTTCAGTCTTAAGGGACTCTAACTACTCCCACTATATCCGGTACATTTCACTTTATTTTATCAATAGACTCAATTTCTGTGCAAACTTTTTTGGGAACAACTAGCTGGAAATCTTATTTATGCAAATTATTTATGCAAAATCTACATTTTACTTCTGACTCATAAAATAAACGTCGTTTTCATCTGTCTAAGCTACAGAGTTAATTTTAAGTTGCTTGGATGCCAGCTAATATAAAAATAACTCCCAGGTCGGAAAAACTAACCGCAAACCTTATTTATGCAAGTTATTTATGCAAAACCTTGTCACTCATCAAATAAATAAATACACATATGTCAACGCATGAAAAAATTCTCACCATGTCTCGTGCAAAGCATGTGCGTAAAATATTCCTGATCAACTCGAGGGTGCGTAGGTGTCAAAATTGTCTGAAAATCGATCACATGCTTTATGTGCGGCCCCGCACATCATTTGTCAGCGACTTTATTAAACTTTGTCAGCCTTTCCGTGTAACCTAGTCAAGTCATCCTGCATAAGTTTGCACTTTGTTACAAATCAAGAAATAAATAAGTAATTTGTGTATGCATCATCTTAATTATAAATGTGTACATACTTAAATATAAATAAAGAAATCGATGTGCATTTGACTAAAATATTAAGGTACATACATCCATGTATGTATTTCAACTTCTCATTTACAAATATAACTGACATACATATAATAACTTTAATATCGTTTTTTCATACCCTTTTTTGTTTTAAATGTGTAAGAAGATATGTACATACGTAAATGCATATCTATTCAAAAGCTATACTTTCATGACGGAAATTCTAACTGCAATGACAGGCATGTCCAGTACATACATAAACCATAACTTACCTATCCTACCAACGGCTTACTGGCATCAGTAGCACATACATAAATCGAGTAAAATTGTCTAAAAGTATGTATATGTATTTACATCTCAGCTGTAAATTTGGTTCCACGTTATAAGTAAGCGTATACTTAGGCAATATGTACGATCATATTTTTATTATTGGCATTATGCAGTGACGCGTAGATACACAAATAAATACCACTCCACCAAAGAAAATTTTACAACTAAAATTGGAGATATTCAGTCTGAAAATTTAATTCATTTAAATAAATGAAAGTGAAATACAGAGTTCATCATGCATTTTGTGGCACAAATATCATGGATTGTGATCTTATCGTGTCAAATAATATCGGTGATCTCGAGAATGGTCGGAATCAGGGTGATTGAACATCCAGGAAATATCATCGTTTATTCGGCGGGATGTGTGGGTACACTACCGGAAAATTTTACTCTAAGCGTCAATCAAACGGCGGCAATTTTGGGGCGGGAGGTATGTATGAAAATATATTCAAAAAGTTGTTACGTCGTGGAGACAAATCGCTACCAGTGGAGGTAATATGTACATAGTGTCCTCTATTTTTGGGTAATGACCAGACACAAGTGTTGTCACCGAAGGGAAATTGATAAGAATACAAAAACAGACGTGGCGTCGTTACTAAAAAAATTGAAAACTTTTATTTTTTTATTAAGAACATTATTGAAATGAAAGTAAATAGAATTTTTAGCCCGAGTTGGAGCTTATGTACTCGTCGTGGCGGTTTGTCTGTGTGTGTGTCGATTGATTGTGTACGCTCGGCCAATCTACATACATGTAATTTTGCACATACCGTAAAAACTCAAATGGTAGCCGGGGGCTACTATTTACAAAATCGGTGGCTGGGACCCGGCTACTATTTGAGCAACGGCTACTATTTGAGTTTTTACGGTACATAAAATAAGGCTTCAATTCTCGAAGATTAGCAAAATCTGAGGAGAAATCAAAACATGTAGTGGTCATTTCATTGGCGACAACCTGACTCGGGCAATGTATGGGTGCATTGTGGGCTTTTAATAAAGGCGTCACACGGGCTTTTTCTATGATTTTTTTCTTTCGCGGAAAAACATTTATCACTACCCAAAACCATGTAGAACACTATTTTTAGTAATTTTATGATATACGATTGTTACCGTCCGAAGTACTATGCAATTCTACGACTTGATAATAATAATTCGGTAATAATTTATCACAGAAGGGTGACATATACGTGGTCATACATCGCTCTGGAAATTAAAATAGATATTGGAGGCAAATTCTTACCCTCAGAAAACAACTTATTACTACAATGTTACCACTCGGTAGAATTGCATAGCACCCCCGACGATAACAATCGTATCACAAAATTACCTTCGCGGTAATGATTTGTTTCCGAATTATTTAATAAATTTACTGAATAACTTCTCATTGCACATTTTTGTTCTTATTACATGCCTAATTCTGCAGGGCTCGCCATTTTGGTCGAATTTCACAACCCAACCCTGTCATTATATCAACCCTCCAATGAAACGGTTCAATTTGACCGTAGTCTTTACACAATTTGACATTAAGTGTTCGGCAATTGGACAGATTGTGGCGGCCTTAAATTCGAAATACGACGCGGTAATACTTACCGAGCGAAGGAGGAGGGGGCAAGATGAGAATAAAAAGTATGGTGACAATCATAGCGTTGGATACCCTTGGACGTATGAAATTTATCCATGCATACTTTCCAACAAAGATGGTGACGCAATTACGGAAATAATAAGAAGCCACAACGCAAGTGATAAAATGTACGTAAAAGGCATTTATTTACAAAAGTGTACACTTTTAAAAATTATGGCACCCTTTTGGACAAAAAATGATCTCTGAATTCAATATTAAGTATCTGTAAACCATACACTCAAAACAAAAATTTGTCAAATCAACACCGCCGGTGTCAATACATATATGACTTAACCGCCTTGGTTAAAATGTTGAACCCGAGTTATGATGATTTTGATACCGGTAGTGATAAGGTTATGACCGGACGGAAAAATTTCGTTACCAGTCGGAATCACAATATTGTAACCAAGTCATACATATGTTGACACCGGCGGTGTCGATTCGACAAATTTTTCTTTAGAGTGTACTAAATTCAGAGTAAGACTAATAAGGAGTCAGGATTTACGGTGGGGATGCAAACCCGGTTCAACCCAGATTTTTTTTCTTTAAAGACCAACCGTTTAGAAACAACGTTTAATATAGAACTTGCGTATATAGGGAAATTTTAGCAAGTTATGGGCACCGCAAGTTCGCGAAAATAAATACCGGTTGTCCACCGAAATCTGTAAACAGCCAACTTTCGGTGTCCATGAAATTTTCGCATCGGATCAAGTTCGACATTAAACGTTTTTTTCTAAAAGTTTGGTCTTTCAAGAGGAGTTCAGTTGGTCAATAAATAGATAAGTATATAATCTGGGTTGAATCTGGTGTGTGCCCACAGTGTTTACGTGATTGAATTTAGAATAGGGAATTTAGATAGCATTTAGTTTTCGAAAGGGTAACATTATTTTTAAGAGTGTAAATATATTTAGTTACTGATTGAGAGCAAATTTGGAACTTTTATCCGTATTTTTTTTACAGATAAACGGTTCGTTTCGAGGATACAATTCCGTCCAATATTTTTGATAGGTTGTTCGACTGGGTGGGATTAACGGGGGGAATTTGCATCCTCGTTGTGGCCGGTGTGATTGCCTTTCTTCTGGCCTTGTACCTTTTGGCGTGTCTAAGTCCCATTTTGTTCTGGGTATGAATACATAAGCTGATTAATGCAAATGATATGCATGTAAACTCTTAAAACCAATGTCACAATTTTGAAAATATGTACACCCTTAATTTTATATGAAGTAAACTATCCTAATCTTAAATCCCGCGTACAATTTACGCTTTATTATTTTACGAACAATTAATATGCAATTCAGATTGCAGATTCAGATGCTTTTCAAAATGTGACATTATTTTTAAGAGTGTATGTACATAAATATATAAAATGTAGATTCTTTGACATATTTCTATGTATCTTATTTAGCTTCTGAAAGTTCTTATGCAATGTGTTATCGCGGTGAGTATGTAAACTGATATTTTAGAAGTTAAGTTAAATCTGCAAGTGTGAATTCCCATTTTGTGCTGGGTATGAATAAGCCGACTATTTACATAAACACAGTTAATATGTATACATGTACACTCTTAAAAACAATGTTAGAGTTTTGAAAGTTAGTACACTTTTAATTTGATACATATATGAAGTAAACTATGCTAAATCTCGCGTACAATTTTCACTATATTATGGGTTTATGTATGTAAGTAGTATGGTTTACAAACATTTGTATTTATTTTTCAAAATGTGGCATTTTTAAGAGTGTACATAAATATATCAAATGCAGATTCCTTTGACATATTTTGATTATTTTATCTGATTTAGATTCTGGAAGTTCTTATGCGCTGTGTTATCGAGGTGAGTATGTAAATTGATATTTTATAAGTTGAGCTAAATCCTCACGTCACTTCGAGCGTGAATTAATTTGATACTCGTACAGTATACAAAATGTACAAAGTGCCACTCTTGGAAATCCAGTATTAAAATAATACCAAGCGGTATTCATATAGATAAATTCATATGTACGACCTTACCAAAGTGATATTAATGTGTAATACACTCTAAATAAAAATAAGTGAAATTCACTAAAGGTTAAGTAAAAAAGAAGATGACATAACTAAAATGTAAAAATTAGCCAGCTGTTGTGCTTATTTTCTGAAGAAGTAATATATTGACGTTCCCTCCTAATTCGAATTAGGTACATATGATTCCTCTAACATTTTCATTGCAGATTTTGGGATTCATTGTGTATTCACCAGTATGGGTCTTCAAGATGGGGGTTGCGACATCCGCGAAGGTAATAAAAAATTCAAAATTTTTACTTGACAAATTACAGTACGTAACACAAGTGAGCATCCACCCTGAAAAATAACCGTATTGAAAATTGAATGCACTGTGAATTTGATTGTGCTATGTTTATTTACTCTGGATTTAGTATAAATATGTGGTTTCCTTAATACATAAGTATTGAATTTAGGCGGGGTTTACTTTCCAAGAGGGTACACTCAGAACACAAAAATTGTCAAATCAGCACCGCCGGTGTCAAGCTATGACTTAACCGCCTTGGGTACAATTGTGATTCTCAGTGGAAATGAAATTTTTCCGTCCGGTTACAAAATTATAGCTACCCGTATCAATATCATCATAACTCGGATACAACATTGTTACCAAGGCGGTTAAGTCATATATTGACACCGGCGGTGTTGATTTGACAAATTTTTTTTTGAGTGTAACATTATTTGTAAGATAGTTTTTTATTTAATTTACATTTGTTGCTAGGTCCTTCAACAGATGAGAAAAGGATGTGCAAGTATTTCAACGACGTGCACTTGCCGATGGAGGAAACTGCGTATCGTGATAAGTCAAAGTGACCCTCAAAAAACGTGCAGCATTTGTCTGGAGGATTGCACAGTTCGAGATAGAAATGCTATGGTTTTGGAATGCAGACATAGTAAGTTATATAAATAAATCGTCTTTTCAATTTCGGGACACTCTTAAAAATTATGGTACCATTTTGAGACGTAAATAATGATTGATTGATTGATTTATTTCAATGAGGCACCCCAGTAATGGGACTTTACACCTCAAGGTAAATTCATGTCAGACATGTATATACAGAATATACTAAAAACTCGGTACTTAAAAACATTATTGTATCATAGTCTCATAAGATTCAAACATATCAATTAAATTAAATAATTCAACCATCCTAGTTGAGCATTGCTCATTTAACAACCATTTCCTGACTTCCTTTTTAAATACAATTAAACTCTTGCTTCCATATTGCTCCCTCAATGACACTGGGAGATTTGACCAAGCTACTGACGCCCTATATCGAAATGATTTCTTGGTAATATTATTAACAATTAGTATGGTGCGTATTAGTAGGTGCGTAGTACGACATATTTCTGGTATTTCTACACATTGTTCTCCCTGTCGGTACATAATTGTGGAAGTATTTCGGGCCCATATTGTTTAACATTTTATACATAAATTTAGCCAGTTCATTTTTTACTATATTATTTGCATCCAGCCATTCTAGTTCGACATTGATATTATCCGTTATTGAGTCATACTTACTTCTATTGTAAATATATCTTGCACATTTTCTGATTATCTTATTGATGGCGAGTACATTACTCTTACCGACTAACCATACAGGAGCTGCATACTGGAAAAGTGAGCATACTAGCGCTTGTATAACGACTTTCTTGTTATTATAACTAAGTACAAATTTTAACGGATTCAGAGACCATAACGCTGCATTACAACTTTTTACAACCTTTGCACACTGTGTATTGAATGTTAGGTCTTCATCAATTAGTATCCCTAATAACTTCGTGCATGTAACCCTTTTAATAGGAATACCCTTAATTTTTACCACAATGTCAGCTACATATGATTTTTGATATGACGGGGCGAATACAATGAATTCACACTTTTTTACATTGAGTTCTTGCCTGTTCGCTTCCATCCACGTAATTGCCCTGTTGAGATCATCTTCTAACTTACTTATTACAATGTTAACATGTTCAATTGGACCTGTAATTAGCACACCACTGTCATCCGCAAACATGATACATAGACTATTTCTTATATGCTGTGGAAGGTCGTTCATCATAATTAGAAATAGAATACAACTGATACAAAGGCTCTGGGCAAATCCTAGGTTAGTGGTGAGAGTTTGAGAGGTTTTTGTACAGTTTTTGCACGACGTGGCCACAAATTGCATCCTATTTTCTAAGAGAGAGTAAATTAAATTAGATTTAACACCGTACCAATTTAGCTTATGCATTAACACATCTTTACAGGCCTTATCATAGGCTTTGGCAACATCGAGCGCCACCAGTATACAAAAATGCCTACTTTCCCACGCTTTGTATATATGATCTGTAACGGCGATTAATGCGTGAGTAGTGGAATGGTACTTACGGAACCCAAACTGGAATTCTGACAATAAGTTGTTAGCTTCCAAATAGGTTGACAATTGGTTAAAAATACATTTACCGAATAATTTTGTAATAATGGGTTGTATTGCAATTGGTCTGAGATCATTTGGGGAGACCGGGCATTTAACCTTTGGGATTGGTATGACCTTAGATAATTTTAACATATTAGGTACTGTTTCATTGATAATATACATATTTAATAGATTTACAATTTCAGAAATAAATTTAGGAGACGACATACAAATATTAAACATCTTATTACTTAACCCAGAAGTGTCATAGGATGTCGATCCTCGATTTTTGATCCTTCCCATGCTTTTATCACATCTTCCCTTGACAGCTCCCGTATTTGAAACGAAGGGGGATTGTTGTCCCAAGGAAATGACGGCTTAGGAGGTAACTGTGGTGGAGGGGATGTGCTGTTCCTCGTGGAGATTGCCACAAAGAAGGAATTTATTTCATCGGGGTCTAAATTGACATCGGCTGCTGGGCTCAGCATGGGGTAGAGTTTCTCAAGTGCACCCCACAGAAGAAGGTTTTGTACTTTCTTATTGAATTCATCCTTGGTGTCGTGGAGGATTTTCTGCTTGACCTTCGTTTTGAATTGGCAGAAGATCACTTTATTCCTTGGCAAAGGGTCGCGGCGGAACAATTTGTAAGCAGTGTCCCTCTGCTTTATAAGGTTTTTAGTTTCACTTGATACAAACTTTCTCTTTTGATGAGCATAATACGTACAGTTTCGAATTGGCACTATCATATTGAATATATTAACAATGTTATTTATTATATATTTTGTTGCATTCTCCACATCTTCTTCCACGTTTATACTTAGATTATTTAATTGAGTAGTTACGTCTGCGGGGTTTAAGTTTTTATAATTACGGAAGGAGAGCTGCTTTTTATCCGCTTGGGGTTTTAGACATGATACGGTACACTCGATGCATGAATGGTCTGAGAGTTGGGGATTGTAGACAGATTTGTCTACGATGGAAAGTAAATTATTTGTTATTATGAGGTCCAAAGTGTTTTCGTCCCTCGTTGGTTCTTGAATCAGTTGATGTAGTGATAGTTTGTCTAATATTCCGTTCAACGGGGTCACGTATTTTTGATCACGTAGGTTGAAGTCGCCGAGAACATACACATTTTTCCCATATTTACATAGCTCAGTAAAGAAATCTTCAAAAAATTCGTAGTCGGTTTGCAGAGTTGTCTTATTATAATCTGGGTGGCGATACAGGCAGGTAATAATAATCTCTTTATAGAAGTTAGATTGTACAATTAGATTCAAATATTCAATATTAAGGGAGGTCAGATCTTTAAAATTACTTAGTGGTTTAATTTTTAGTCGATCCTTAACTAATGTTGCAACGCCTCGATCATGAGAATCTTGTTTTGCATCTTTTCTGTATAGAGTATAACCTGGAATTATTCGAATATTATGGTAATCTTTTAATCGTGACTCACTTAGACACAAGATATCAGTATCATTGGTAGACAAGAAAGTCTTAAGATCATTAAACTTACTATTTATAGAATTTATATTTATGTGGGATATTTTCAAATACTTTGTAATAGCTCCACTCGTCACTTTCGACCTAAAAAAGGAATTTGTTTGGCAGATCCATTGGCTTGGGCACGATTTCTCTTATTGACGTTGTTTAGTGTGGGTCCATTAACGTTTCTTGTCCTATCATATTTTGAATTGGGTACATTATTTAGCTGAGGCGGACGTTGATAATAATATTTTGAATTACCATTCGCATTCGTTACTTCGTCACTATTTTGGGCACCTACGTGGGCTATTACACCGTTCTTAATCTGTACTTCACCATTTTGTAATGTAATTGATCGCTTTCCCCAGTTGATGTGATGATCCATGTTCATTGATTCAGTGACAATGTTCATTTTGCGCATGGTAGTACATCGTTACCACCCGGTGATAAATTTTGGCCGTATGTACAGCAACAAATTCTCCGCGCTAATTTTGTCACCACGAGGTGAGAAACTTTGTAACCTTGCAGTACATATATGTATGGAGCTACATATGTATAATTGGATTGATCGGCATTGGAGGACATATTTTTGAAATTGAATTTATTGACAAGCTTTCGGCACATACAGATACTTTCATCGGGTCAAAAATTGGAGTTGATGTCTATGTAGGCACACGGCGCCGCGAAGATTTGAATGTGAATTGAAAAATGTTCCACTTTATGTAAATATAAATACAAGAAAAGTCCGCAATCATCATTGCACACATAGATAATAACAAGAGCAGTGTCAATGGCACCCGGTTCAAGTTACAGTTGGAATTGCATTCAACATATACAAAATACGCAGTACTTCATGAATCATACCTTATCAGATCTGGTAAACCATTCATGCATTCAATCAATTTGTAATAGATAAGTATTTGCGCAGTGAACTTGGGCTAATCGGTCATACTGTAGTCCACGTAGCCAATGACGACTACCATTTTTGCTTCTCATTATTATTTACTACACTTGACTTCCATACATAACCAAGCAGAAGAATTTTATTTTTAAAGAAAATTTGACAAATACTTTACTTATTTTACATATATGTATAAATGTTGAGTATTTTCGGAGTTGGAAATCTCTTCAATTAAGTGCCAATGGTCTAAAACTTGCGTGGCAAGAAAGTTCGGTACGACGGCCTGGTTTGGTTTGAACAAGTGAGTTTCTAAATTATCTATTTATGCACTTTGGAAGAAGTGCATATGCTTTCATACTAAGCATGATAAGCATTGCTTAGTAAATGCGTGTTTGCGGCAGATTCCGCTGCTTGGAGGTATTGATGAGTACAGTGTAACGCCTATTGTTAGCCTATACTTTCTACTTTCGCTTTATTATCAACTTTCACTTTACTTTCCAATATCTTTTACCAGTGGTAATTTTACCTTAAAGCGGAAACCAATACTTTCCATTTTCTCTTTTCCTTAAGGCGACAAACTTAAAATTCAAAGATTTAAAATAGTAGCAAAAGTGTTTTCATGAATTGGGTCTTATTAAAACGGTGTCAAACAAATTAAAACTGATGATGTATCGACAAGTTTGCACAAAACGGCGACATAAAAGATGTGCAAAGCTATTTGGCATTTCGAAGCTGAAAACCACAGATTTTGATCCAAAACCATTTATGTAATTATATTTTTAAAAAAACAATTAACTTTTCTTCTAAAATGGGCTTCCCGTTCGTTATTAGCCCGAACCAGGGCTTATGTAATCGTCATGTCCGTCCGTCTGTCTGTCTGTCTGTCTTTCGATAACTTTAGAACGGGTTGACCGATTTTGACCAAATTTGGTATAAACATGTATCTGGGCAATGCAACAACCGAGTTCGAAGATGGGTTCGATCAGAAAAGTTTTGGATCGGTGGGGGTCATATAAGTGGGTGGGGTATTATGCACCAAAATTTCAAAATTATGATAAAAAGCTGAAATTTGGCATAGAGGTTGCTAATGACTCCTAATGAAAGAATATGAAGTGAAATTGGAAAATTTTTCAACCGGAGGGACCCGAGTGGGTGACCCATACCGATTTTTCAAAATTATCCAATTGAGCTGAAATTCGGTATAGAGATTGCCAATGGCCCCTAATGGAAGAATATGAAGTGAAATTGGTAAAATTTCATGTGGAGGGACGATGGGGGTGACCCATACCGATTTTCAGATATTGCCGTAAGATGCTGAATTTCGGCACGGTAATAATTAAAAGCTTCTCGTGAAATAATATGAAGTCAAATATGAAGAAAAAGTAACCAAAGATGACCAAAGTAACCAAAGGGGCACTAGACTCATACTAATTTCTAACAGTTTATATATTCAGCTGAAATTTAGTATGGGGGCGAAAAAAACGTAGGATTAGAATTTAGGAGGGTTGAATTTCGAATGTTTTTATAGAAAATTCTGACAAACATGAGTTTACTAATTAACCCTGGTTCGGGCTAAGCAAAGCTATACTGATAGGTTTTTTTTATAGTAAAGTTGTAATTTCTAGTTCAATAGGAATGACAATAAACCGTCTCAAAAGCGCATACGGAAGTAGCTTCAGACTCACTTCACCCCAACGACTCCCACAACATTGCGGGAACACTTGATTTCACTGTATTTCATCTATATATTCAATTTTGTAAAAATCTCGTTTTGCCCCGATCACACCCCCTGGCACCCATGGGGTGTGGCACAACTCGGGAACACTTAATTTCACTCTATTTCATCTATAGATTAAATTGCACTAAAAGTCTCACTTTGCCCCGACCACACCCCCTGGCGCTAGTGGGGGTGGTTCGGTTACCGCCAAAAGTTGATAGGATCCTCCCCCTAGGGTCATATGTATGATGCCGCAAACCGATTTCGATTATCTCGATCCGTTCTCCTGTTATCCTGCTGACAGACGGACAGACAGACGGACAGACGGACAAGTCTTCACATAAAGTAGCTGAAGCTACTTAATAATGACGGCCGGAATTTGTTCAGAAACAAAAAAGCTTTGCTTGGCCAAGATTCTCAGCCTTTGTAGAGATGATTTTTATGAGCTCAACGGTACCAATAATTTGGAATTATTCCGTGCCGTCACTGAGTGGGAGGAGCTCAAGTTTGGATAAAATCGCTCCGCCTGCCATTTTTGCCATAAACATGGTTTAATATTCTTGAAAACGGCTTTCGCCAAAGGTATCCTAATTTTGTTCTCGTTTTCGAAAGTTTATCGAAATTTGCAAAACTAATTTCCCGATCCGAAAACTGTTGAAAACGGTTGTAGAGAAAAAAATTAGGATACCTTTCGCGAATACCCTTTTCAAGAATATTGAATCGTGTCTATGCTAAAAATGGCAGACGGAGCGATTTTATCCAAACTTGAGCTCCTCCCACTCTGCGAGGCGGAGGAGTCATTCCAAATTATTGGCACTGTTGAACTCGTAAAAGTGAGCTTTACAAACGGTGAGCAGCTTATCAAAATAAAACTTTTTTGTGTCTTAACAGATTTCGGGTTTTCGTTAGTGAAAATTACTTTGCCTAAAAAGCAGAGGTGGGCAAGATCATTATCTCAGATAGCAGATCAGGATCAAAGATCAAGATATTATCTTGATCTTTGATCTTCGGCTATATCTTTTGATCTTGATCTTGCACTGTATGACCTTCTATCTTGATCTTGATCTTTAAGTTCAAGGTCAAAATCACAAATATGAAAAGTAGGGTTTTAAAACGTATTTATTGATAATTTTTATAAAATTTCACCTTTGTCCTGTACTCACAAGGGAACATACCGAGGTGTCCAACGAGTTAAGGGTCGACACCTATACCAAAATGACCACAACACATGACTTATTAAACAAACTGAAGGAATTTCCGTGTAAAATTCACTTTTCGTCACGTCGTGACGATATTTGTGGCGAGCGCATGACCATCGGGTTGCCAGCGGGAGAGGTCGGCCGCTGAACGATCAGGTCGACCACAGAGAAGCGTCGTCGTCTTCACGTCGTCTTCAGTGATTTCAAATTCTTTCAAATTTTGAAACCATTTCGAAATTTGGAAGAAATTTTGAAACCATTTCGAAATTTGGAAGAAATTTTGAAACCATTTCGAAATTTGGAAGAAATTTTGAAACCATTTCGAAATTTGGAAGAAATTTTGAAACCATTTCGAAATTTGGAAGAAATTTTGAAACCATTTCGAAATTTGGAAGAAATTTTGAAACCATTTCGAAATTTGGAAGAAATTTTGAAACCATTTCGAAATTTGGAAGAAATTTTGAAACCATTTCGAAATTTGGAAGAAATTTTGAAACCATTTCGAAATTTGGAAGAAATTTTGAAACCATTTCGAAATTTGGAAGAAATTTTGAAACCATTTCGAAATTTGGAAGAAATTTTGAAACCATTTCGAAATTTGGAAGAAATTTTGAAATTTTGAAAAAAATTGAAGAAATTTTGAAATTTTGAATAAGTTTTGAAATCTTGAAAAAATTTTGAAATTATGAAAAATTATGTGAAATTTTGAAAAAATAAGGTGTGTAAGTTATTTGAAATTTGAAATCTCTGAAGGTAACATGTTTGTTTCAAAATTTTCGAATTTTTTTTCTAAATTTCAAAACTTTTTCAAAATTTGTAAAATGTTTTCAAAATTTTTTCGAAATTTCAAAATTTCTTCCAAATTTCGAAATGGTTTCAAAATTTGAAAGAATTTGAAATCACTGAAGACGACGTGAAGACGACGACGCTTCTCTGTGGTCGACCTGATCGTTCAGCGGCCGACCTCTCCCGCTGGCAACCCGATGGTCATGCGCTCGCCACAAATATCGTCACGACGTGACGAAAAGTGAATTTTACACGGAAATTCCTTCAGTTTGTTTAGTAAGTCATGTGTTGTGGTCATTTTGGTATAGGTGTCGACCTTAACTCGTTGGACACCTTTGGTATGTTCCCTTGTCAGTTTGCAGTAAATGAAACGAAAAATACGAGATTTAATTTTTTCCTGATCAATGGAATCAAGTGTTCAAACGACGATCTATTTCTTACATAAATGCAAGGGTTTAATTCAACGTGAAATGAAGTATAAACGTAACTTAAAACATCCCAGCAAAAGTTTTGTTATACTTGTAAGCATAGTATTATACTATTAGTATAATACTTACCAAAACTTTAGTATATGTAGATATAAATATCTATACGAAATTATAATAATGTTGATGCTGTCAGCTTTGAATAGCTAAAATTAGTTAGAAAACCAATTTTGGTTGTTTCGTATTTTTGTGCCCACTACATTATTCGAACTTCTACATAGTTATCAGTTTACAAAATATTTGCAACATATGTAGCAGGATTTTAAATCTTAAATCCATTAATTGTACATATGCATCTATTGCTGGAATTTATTTGATCTTCTGATCTTGATCTTGATCTAGCATTTGATCTTGATCTTGATCTTTTATCTTAAGTATTCGGCAGATTTATCTTGATCTGTGATCTTTATCTTGTGAAAAACAAAAAATGATCTTGATCTTTTATCTTGATCTCCGAAAACGTTAATCTTGCCCACCTCTGCTAAAAAGTATAATCCAAGTGTGGGTTTAAAGTAACAGAAAAGTTCCAGCAAAGTGAAAGTTGAGTTCAAATACCCCAACTGGTAAAGTAAAATCAACCCAATTCCTTGAGTATTGTAGTAGCATTACCGCTGGAGTTCATATTTGCAAAATGGAAAGTAAAATGGAAAAGTGACGACAAAAGTAGTGGTAACTCGCGAGTTAACAGTAGGCGCAGGGTCCCCAAAGTAATATTCCGACGCCGGCTATCGTCTGTGTTAACAAATCCTGATATCCCATATTAGGTCATCCATAGTGTGTTAGGTCCATAACCGATGTATAGACATGATACGATGACCTAAGTAAATTTTATAATTTTCAGAACATCACAATTCAAAACCAGTCGAATTTACAAATCCATAAGGGAGTATCCTTAAAATGGCTCGATTGATGGACAGAATGGTCTCACTAATGGGGATCAGAACACCTGATCGAGATCCCAAATCAACCCTAATATACACCTCCTGCATTGGCCACGGTGCGTACGGACTCGTCTTCGAAGCTACTGATAGAACAACTACGTCTTCCAGCGCCGTCAAGTTTCTCTTCCCAGATTCCGAGGGCGACGCTGGCGCAGAAAATGAGCAGCGGATTATGCGTGAGTGCCGCATCACAGAAAACCTTGCACAGCATGAGAATGTGGTGAGAGTATTAAAAGTTACCGAGAAGCAGTTTACTTTAGCAGACCTGAATCAACTCCTCCCAGAAAGGTTATGCAATACTAAACAAAACAAGTTCAGAGCGGAACATGCATACAGGTTGACGAAAGTAAAAGCCATACGGGGGATTTCAATACAAATGGAACTTTGTGGAGAGAATTTAAGAAAATGGTTGAAAATACAAATCAGTGTGCCAGATGTTAATCTTCACTTAAAACAATTTACCATTATTCAAAACATCATAGCTGGATTGACACATTTGCATGATAACATGATTATTCATCGAGATTTGAAGCCGGAAAACATCATGTTTACAAAAGTTGGATTCACACTTCCGGTCAAACTCGGGGACTTTGGTCAGTGTCGGAACCTTAATCGTGACGAAAGTCAAGATAGTACTCTCACCAGTCGTGCTGGGACTTTAGACTACATGGCCCCTGAATCATTTACGAGACGGTACAGTTTTCCGGCTGATATTTACTCCTTGGGCTTAGTAATCTGGGAGATTGTTCAGCTCTTAAAGTTCAACGAGAAGAAAAACTTATTTGACAGGCTTGTCAACGACAAGGAGGAATGGCTGGTAAAATTACCTCCAGAGATTAATGGGGTACGGGGCTTGATTATTGCCCTATCCAAAAAGAAGGTCAACGACAGGCTTAAGACTATGACGCAAGTAAATGAGTTTATTTTAGATTCGAACTTTGGCGTGAATATCATTGCCAAAAATGATGAGGAACTGCGTTCATTTTTGCGGTATGCGGTACCTAGGTCAAAGGCCACATTGACTGCAAAAGTGTATCGTGGTAACTTTCTCATACAAGGACAATTCATCACAATTGTTGGCCAAGGTGACACTTTCATTGTTGGTGACGAAGATCGTGCAAACTGTATCGCCGTTGAGGGATTTGGTCATACGCTTAAGAACCTTAAAATTCTACACCCCAGACAACATTGGAACACTAATTGCTTGACAGTGACCGGAGATGGGCACTCGTTTTGCGAACTGACAATATCCGGAAGAAATTGCATTTTGGTATCGGGTGGAGACCACAAATTCGAAAAGATGAAATTGTCAAACTCCGAGTCTGGAATTAGTGTTATCGGGGGATCCCGAATCAGTATAAATAATATACAGCTTGAGAGTATTAAAGGTTATGGAATTCATATTTCTGAGTCCTCAAAATTCAACATTGTTTCGAACGTGACAGGAAATAATGTGTATTGTGCAATTATCTGTTCAGGCAGCAACAATAGGTTATCCAAAATCAGGTTGGAAAGCAACACCAAAAATGAAGGTAGGGCATATGGAGTGATATTAGAGAAAGGCGAGTTTAACCATGTTGAATATCTCATCTGGTCAGATTCATTAAATCCTTTGTCTTCTAACTTGAACATTGCATCACACAAGTCCTCCGCCAAAAATTGCAAATGTGGGTCAGTTTGCGTAGGGGGGAACGATGTAACTCTAGAAAACATAGATGGCGGCGAAGAAATTAATATCCATGAAAAATCACTTGGCTCACGATTAGTAAACTGCCGGGCTAGGTTTCTTTTCGCAAATGATGATGTAACCTTCATAAATTCCGTGTTTGGAAAGGAAGTTATGAGTAGTTTGAGGCATTAGTTAGTTTCTACGAGTAAATGAACGAATCCAATAACTGTTGTTTTATTAGATGCAACATTTTAATACAGAAAGACGCAATGTTGTATGTTAATATGAATGTGTGAAATAAAATGTGTTCAGAATGTTTACGGTTATTAAGCAATTATTTCACCAGTTAATACTCACATTCATAAAACCCTAAATTTCTGATGCTGCATAATACATATAATATTGCAAGCTACATGTATTTGGATGCATACAACCACTACTTAAAGTAGTGGTTGTATGCGAAACTGTGAAAATTTTGTAGCTTGGATCAACTTACCATCATATCAAAGTGTCTGCTTGCGTGAACTGCGTTTCCGCATCTAAGGTGTGTTGGAATTTGTATTTCCATTTCCATTTTTGAAAATATGTCCATAAGTATGACACAAATCGCACACGATAAGGTACATACAGTATACCACTTGATTGTAGATGCAATGCATGCATGTAGTATATGAGTCACAAATTCTTCATAACAGCGTGGTATTTTAAATTTGTTTTTACACCATTTATTAGCAATATTTCGTAGTACAATCGTGCAAAATTTCGAATGAATTGGGCTAAAATTGATAAAGTTATTGATATTTAAATGTCGAAAAGTTGCAAATTGCAGGCCACAGAATTGTAGATGCAGCTGAGTTTAATTACGATGACGACCCAGTTTTTCAGTTTAGAAGCAAATCTTGCTCGGGAAAGTATACCTTGGGTAAGAACAATTATTTATGTTGCTAGTGAAAAATTTTTGCTGGAAATTTCAGTTTAAAACGGTACATAAACCCACATCAATCTAGAAATTCGAACATAAAATGCTTCGTACCATGAAAACGAGTCAGTTAAGGACAAATTAGTGAAAAACTTGAAACTTCAAGAAAAATTTAACAACACATTGTCGAATAATGGAATAACGTGGAAACCGTTGAGCGGATTCACGGCAAGCGTCCAAAATGCATACATTGCATCTGAATTGCTGGTAGATATATAGTATTGAAAAAACGACCATATTTCTAGCAAATTTTAGCAATTACAGAAATTTGTAAAAAAAATTGAAAGTAATCAATGTTTTAACCACTTCACATACACGAAAGTGGTAAGTTTTTAAAACAGGAATATGCAGAGAATTTATTAATGGAATTACATAATAGATATGTACATACGCCTGTTTAAACTCGCGCGAAATTAAGAAATTGAAGGAACATAAAATATAACTTCCCTTTCACGCTTGATTTTTCGTTGTTAAATGAACCAAAAATACATCCTTATTACAAAAACCACTCCCACGTCCACGCCCACGTCCACGCCCACGTCCAAAAAGACCTCCACTCAAGCCACGAAACGGATTAAGACCTCCCATGGCTTCCAGAACCCAAAAACTTTCTATCGATATGGTCAAGCATAAATTATTAATAATAAATTTTTGTATATGCTCATTTTGGTATGTAATTTGCTACATTCAATTTGCTTTAGTATACTTTGATGTATGTATGTATTTACAAATGTATCTAAATATTCTATCTGTAAGATTGTCAGCAGTTTTGAAAATTGGTCAATAATTGAGAAAGTAATAAGAATTTGATTTCCTCAAGCTTATTTGTTTTATTTGCTAGTTAGTGAAATTAAAATGGATTAAAATACAGAGTCACATTTCCATCTTTGTAATCACACGTGGGTGCGGCTCCTTTGATAAAATATCTTAGAAATGCTAAGATATTTCCGTGGATGCATCTTGCCCATGCATTCTAACTTAGAATGCATGGACAGGATGCAAGTCTTGTTACTACTGTTCGCCCATTATTATTAGTCGCAAAACTCTGATAATTTTTCTGAGAAGATAGTTGGCGTATATTACTTGTATAATTTCGTCATTGGCAACGGTATCGAAACTGCTTTAAATTAAAAATACGAAGATGAAGTACAAATTTCTGATCAGAAAATTTTATTTTACCTGCCAGGTAACCTTTCAGAATTTTTTGCGACTAATAATAGTGGATGAGCAGTAGTATGCTTTTCAAGGTTTGTGAAATTGATAATTAACAAGGATGCAATATGTTCATGGAAATAATACAGATCTAAATGGTTTACCTAGTTTTCAACGCAACCTTCACATTAAGTACATATTTATTAAATTAAATATTTACCTGTTCAAATATTTACAACTTTCGGACGTTACTACCTTAACAGATAAACATTTATACATACTTGTGTAATAATCCTTGATTATTTCCGGCAAGTAAATATTTGATGCGATAAATTCCCTGAATTATAAATGTTTAAAGTACACTCTTGAAAATCCGGGATTAAAATTACACCAAGCGGTATGTATGTACATATTCATACATATGTATGATGAAGCTACAAAAATAGTATTTAAAAGTAATAGGTCGGTATTCAAATTTAACCATACCGGTGACTGATTTTTACGTATAGTATAATTTTTTCAATACCAACCGTTATCAACTTTATCACCAGCAAATCAATAAGTGTCTGACTACAAATGTATACAAAATTTCTAAATGTGAACGGCCCAAATTATTGAGTTGACTAAAATCGTTCTAAATTGATTGAAATGCTCTTACTTCATTTGATCGTCACCAACGAATCCATGAAGCTCTTTAAAAATACTTCAAAAATGAGTAAAATTTCGATTTTTGGCTGTATCAAAAACCATCTAAAACTAGGTGATTATTTTCCTACTACCTTCGCAACATGGGATGAGAAACAGGGCAAAATAAAGTTAATTGGAAAAAGTAAATCTAAGCTTGTTCACTCCGGAACAATTTTGCAACTGGCCGTGATAACTGTTCGGATCTGGTCGGTCGTCACCAAAGCGACAAATCTTATGGAGCGTGTCATCGGTGTCGCGATAACGTCCCTAACGACGATCGCATTTCTGTTACGATTCCAAATATCGGCGGATTTTCTGCAAGTGCAATTTCTGAATTTCGCATTTTCTACGAGAGGTACGTTTTCACGAAAAAACTTGCGGTCTTATAGGTTTTTTGTGTTAATTGGTTGCGCAAAACGTCGATAGGGTGGTTAATGATAATGAGAAATATAATATTATGTAGATATATGGATATGATAGTCAGTGCCGTCCTGAATTTGCCAAATATCTCATACTAGCGTATAAGCCCGTCTCCCGCCGGGCGAGCGAGAATTATAAGATGCAAATGTCTGTCGGAAACGGAAGTGAAAGAAAAGTTTCCACTGGGGAGTAAAAATTAAATTAAAAAAATTAAGTCTCATGGTAGTTATCTTAGGTAGCTATTTATCTGAGTGGTTGCCTAATGATAGTCATCTGACAGTGGTTGTCTAATAGTGGTTATCATGACTACTTCACTGCGAAGTGTCTTGGAAGTGAAGCTGAAGTCAGTCAATACCGACCTGGTCACCATGCTGTGAAGTAAAATCGCCAACCCGTAACTGACGTCCACTCCTCTTCAACTTTACTTTAAACTAAAGTGGCCAACTCTGCTTACCCGTTATTGACTTGTAATTCACTTTAACTTGAAACTAAAGTGGCCAAGATAACGGAAAATAATCACCATCAAACAACCACTTCCAGATTACCACCATGATAAGCACCCCCAAATAACCACCACGATAACCACCCCCAGATAATCACCCCCAGATAAGCACCATGAGATAACCCCTTCCCGATAACCACTCCCAGATAACCCCTTCCCGATAACCACTCCCAGATAACCCCTTCCCGATAACCACTGCCAGATAACCCCTTCCGATAACCACTCCCAGATAACCCCTTCCCGATAACCACTCCCAGATAACCCCTTCCCGATAACCACTCCCAGATAACCACCATCATCCCACTACCCCAGATAACCACCATCAGACCACTACTCCCAGATAACCACCATCAGACCACTACTCCCAGATAACCACCGTCAGACAACCCACAAAGATAACTATCATCTGACTTTTAATTTTTAGCCCGAACCAGGGCTTATGTAATCGTCATGTCCGTCCGTCCGTCCGTCCGTCTGTCTGTCTGTCTGTCTTTCGATAACTTTAGAACGAGTTAACCGATTGACTTGAAATTTTTACCAGATGCATATTGGACAAAGTTAGGAACCGAGTTCGAAGATGGGCCAAATCGGTCAAGTGGTTGACCGGTGGGGGTCATCGGAGTGGGTGGGGTATTATGCACCAAAATTTCAAAATGGTAGTAGAAAGCTAAAATTTGGTACAGAGGTTGCTAATGGCTCCAAGTGAAAGAATATGAAGTGAAATTGTAAAAATTTTCAACCGGAGGGACCCGATGGGGTGACCCATACCGATTTTTCAAAATCATCCAATCGAGCTGAAATTTGGTATAGAGGCTGCTAATGGGCCACAATGGAAGAATATGAAGTGAAATTGGTAAAATTTCATGTGGAAGGACCCTATGGGGTGACCCATACCGATTTTTAAAACTTCGGAAAATTCGGAAATTCGGAACGGTGATACTAAATAGCTTCTCATGAAATTATATGAAGTCTAAGATGAACAAAAAGTAACCGAAGGGGCACTAAGGGTTACCCATACCGATTTCGGAATTTTTATACGAGCAGCCTCCACTGCTTGTTGTATTTGGTAGTATAACATTCTGACAAACATGGGTACTAATCAATCCTGGTTCGGGCTAAGCAAAGCTGTACGATAGGTTTTTAATTTTTAATTTATTTTGAATTTTCGCGCCATTCGAAACCTAATTTTCTCCACTTTCACTTCCGTCCCGGACAGACATTTCCAGCTTATAATATAGATTTTACCGTTTCTTATCTGGTATGCGACTGAAATTCGTGTGGTTTATGTACTCCAAATTGTCTAACGGGACTCCTTATTAGATTGGAATATTTGTGTTGGGTTACATTTTTGCATGAGTATTTAATTTGTAATTTGTCCTCCAGACCTGCCGTACACTTCGAAGGAGAAGATGTTTCTAATCTGCCTCCGCTTCTTTATGGACGCTTTGGCTTTGGCCGATATGGTCTTCGCATGTTTCACCATGGCGTCGATCTACGGCCTGCTGTCCGTCTTTTTACCCTGTCAACCTGGGCTGTTCAGTTCAATTATCTGTACAGAAGGACATGTATTTGCATTCCCCCCATTATGGAAAACGGGCATCCTAATCTTCTTCGCCATTCTGGAGTTTGTCGTCTACATGCAGGTCGTGCCTAAATTAAATTACCTAGTTACGTTTCCAATAAATAAGTCATTGCCCGAGTCAAAATCGTATGTCGAATTTGACATAATTCTACACAAGTGACCGGCACAATGGTTTATGCAGGAAAAATATGAACGATTCTGCATAAAACTTCTGACATGTATATTCTGCAGAAAGGTTTAGCACAATTATGCATAATTCTGTATATTTTGTGCACAAATAGTTTCGGCATAAATTTTTCTGCATAAAATCCAGCCAATTCTCTGCATAAAACCCAGCCAAATTTATGCACAACATCGTTTAAATTTTTCACCTGGGTGGTGATTGGCAGGAACACGTTTTATGTAAGTAGTCAGTCTGGTTCAAGTGCCGGGGGATCGGAACTTAGTACCTGGGAAACGGAACCCAAAAGTTCCGATTCCCTGGACTTTTTAGTTATGCAAGTTACAGGGAAACGGAACCCACTTGTCGCAGGATTTAGCGGGTGCCGATTCCCAGGTACCGTATTAGACAAAAGTTACGATTCCCCGGAACCCAAGATTTTTCTTCCATTTTTCATAAATTGGATAAATTTTCAAAAAAAAATTTATTATCTCAAATTAACCTCCCACCAATGAAGAACATTGGATAAAAAAATTAGAACTTTTTATAGTGGCGTTTTTCCTAAAATCACAAATATCTGAAAAATTTGAGGAGCGGCAAGTTCAAAAGGGTCCAGGGAATCGGAACCCAAAAATTATTTTCAAGGAAAAATACAATTCAAAAATACAATGCCGGGTACTTCAAGTCCCCGGCACTTGAACCAGACTGGTAGTTAGTAGTAGTAATTATACTAAAGTGGATATTTAAACTAATTAATAATTCGGTAATTTGCAAACTTTTTGGCGCTTTTGTAAATTTTCCAGTTAATTGGTAATTAGTAATTATCCAATGAAATCTTTATCTAACCAAATTAATTATTTGGCTAGTTAATTAGAAAATTGCTAATTTTCACAAACTGGTTGGCTAATTTTTGGCTAATCTTAAATTGCTCATCAACCAACTTCTTTTTTTATCTTTTCATTAATTAGTATTTAGTATAGAATTAGCTTCGCCGGCACTAACGCAAGTTAATAATCAATAATTATTAATAATCAATTAATAATTAATAATTATTAATTAATAATCAACCTCAACATTCTAATTAATTAGCTTGGTTACCTAATTAAAAAAATATTAATCATGCAGGTCGGCCTGGGTGGAATGTACTACATCGTCACCGTGCTCCTAACCGGCGTCACCTTTCTGTGGATCGAATGTGTCACATTTATCCGAAAATGGGAGCAAGGACTTGCTACTCTTATCGAGTACAGAAAAGTCCAAATGTTCGAAAAGGTCTTGAATGCTTGCACGCGAAATAGAATCTTCTTGAAGACGGCACTTCTCACGCCATCGTTGCAGATTTTCTTGTCTTTCGCGGTCATCACGATGTACCGGTCGAATCAGGTTATTATTTATTCATTCTTGCTCACATTCATTCATTCAATCGAGCCTGAACAAATTATTTATTCATTAATCAATAAATTTATGAACCTTGAGTTATATTTTTTTACAAAATTTTTGAATGGATGAATTTTGAATAAAGATTTTCTCATTTCATATTCATGACCAATGAGTGAATAATTTTATTCATTATTTACTCGTTTTTTCACAATATGTCTGATTGTGAAATCCATGTATTTAATAATCGGAATCAAAAGAATAGCAAATCAATAATACATATTTATTTCTAAATTTCGAATGAATGAATAATTTTTCAAATTCTTCAACTGAACGAATTTTGAATGAAGCAATTTATTTTTTGAACAGGTCGACTCTCCCATAATGGCCATGTTCCTGCTTGTGTACCTTTTAAACTTGGCATTTACCCTGCAGACGTTCTCATCTGCGGCCAAGGTAAACATGGCGAGCCAGAAGTGGGTCGATTCATGCAAAGGGAGGACTACAAGTAAATTTGAGAGAAAAATGCACAAATCCCTGGCCCCGCTGAGGTTAATGTTTGGTAACAATTTTGTCGAAGTTTTGACACCGCTGGTAGTGCAGGAATTCTGCGTGAGACAAATGATGTCATTTTTGGTGATAATGAGTAAATAGATTGTGAAAAATCGAATTGGAAGCTGATTTCTAAACAGATCCTGGTACCGCAGACGCATTTTCCCAGTAAAACAAATTAGCAAAAATACGATCGACGAGACTGAAGTAACATTTACTCGAATGGGGAGCTGATTCATGAGTAACTAGCGTGCACGTGTAAGTTAAATTGATGGAAAATAGAAGTTATAAATATAGGAGTAAGGAATTGAGGAGACTCACTAATACTGTAGGATCCAGATTTAAGGGCCAATGGTCAACGTTTCGAACCTTCGTTCTTCCTCAGGACCGGAGGGATAATTTTGTGGTGACTGCTCACGGGAAGAACCAATGTGAGTGTGAGGATATGGGAATGGGAAGGATAGGAAGACTGCCAGACCACGTGGGCGTAGCAGTCTAAATTGCAACCAAATTGCAAATTGCAACCAATTCGTGACCCAATCAGCAATTTCACTAATTTCACTAATTTTGGCACTTTTCCTTGTAATCGGCCACGTTGCAAAACCTGCACTCACGTTCTTAAACGTTCCTCTTTAAATATTAAAACAGTAAATTTTGAAATTAAGTCTTTTTCTACTTGTACTAGTTCTTGTTTAATCTACGCAATTACTTGCAAGAGATGCCTTGATGTCATTTACATTGGCCAAACTCTTCGCAAATTAGCCGATCGTTTTCGTGAACATTTACTTTCCATTCGCAATGATTCCCATACCACAGTTTCAGATTATTTTGTTCATAATCACAGTGATGATGATATTATGATCACTGCTTTAATTAAGGCTCCGTCAGACGAGAAGGCTCGCCTGACTCTTGAGAATAAAATTATCTTTCATTTCAAAGCCAACAAACCTCCTGGTTTAAATGTAAACTTTAGTTTTCTATTAAAGTAAACTTTGCGAGTTCAATATACCCTCAGGGCGGTTTTTAATTGCTGACGGGTGTCCGGGCGACCCCGAGGTACCTGAGCCTAGACTGCTACGCCCACGTGGTCTGGCAGTCTTCCTATCCTTCCCATTCCCATATCCTCACACTCACATTGGTTCTTCCCGTGAGCAGTCACCACAAAATTATCCCTCCGGTCCTGAGGAAGAACGAAGGTTCGAAACGTTGACCATTGGCCCTTTAATCTGGATCCTACAGTATTAGTGAGTCTCCTCAATTCCTTACTCCTTGTTATCCTCACTCGCACATTTTTACCAACCAGAAGTTATAAATATACATTTGCTCACAACCACAGCAATACATAGAAATGAAAAAATGAACTCTCACTAGTTATGGGTTACTCCCGGCTTTAACTTAAAAAATAAAATACAATCATACATATATATTAACTTTAGGTTAAAAATTAAAACGTAAATTAAGACTTTTGAACTAAATAAATTATAAAATAAGATACTGGATATGCATTAAATGCATACATTACGAAAGAAAAATGTCCTATAAATGAAATAAACTGCATACACTGCACGGTTTTATCAGATTATATTTTTAGCAAACGGGGGTTTTTTAACTTTGTATAAAATGTAGCCATTGCATGATAGATATTTTGATACTTTTGTTGTTTCACGTCGTCTCACTTCCCCAGAACTGGAATCGTATTGAAGAAGTAATTTGATAAAAACGGGGGTGACTTTAGTGGATACGGAACATCGATGTAGTACTCGCCACGTGCACTGTTGCACAATTACGTGATTGTGAAAAATTTGCTCATACAGTATAAAGGCTCAATCTATTGATGTGTTAAATTCTGGAGAATCATGGCTCAAAATATTCCAGAAAATTTTCACGAAAATAAATGCACAGGTTTTCTAGATAAATCGGTAAAATTTTGCTAATCTTTACTAAATACTTACATAATTCTGAACAAACCGTACACACTTACAAGTCATGTCATTGTCATCCTTTCGAAAAGTGGATTCACTCGAATTCTGTTTTAACTAAACTATACAACAAATCTAGAGTAAACTTTACTTTTTAGCACGTTGACGTTACTCTGGACTTAGTACATGCAGTTGACTTAATATAAAATCCAGAGTTAATTTATTTTGCAAATGGGTAACATGATTTTAAAGAGTGTCGAACAAAAAAATTAACCTAATGAGTATATAATGTATGTATTTCTTACGTGTGGGGTGTGTATATCCCAGCAAAAACAGGGTTGGGACATTGTTGCACACAAATTTCGAAATTGTCGGGGTCCAGCTCCTTCTGGGAACATTGACAGGCCACGTACGCGTTATCAATTGAATCCGCGAATAAATACTGAGCCGTTTGATGACTGCAGAATAAAAGATTCGATCCTGGATTACAGCCGGGTTGAGAATGGCCGTTATTTACTAGATTTAAAAAGTTTAGTTAGCTTGACATGTTATTTTAGACTCCTCATCAAACTCGTCAAAATGTAGACATTTTTAATAATTTTTCGCAACTGGAAATTTATTAAAAAATTCGGGACGAAAAATTTATTGGTGTTTTTTTTATTATACCTTCAGAAAAATTTGAATACATCGAAACTGGCTTAAAAACACTGTCATTCTAGTCTACTGACTGAAAATTCGTCGTTCAGAATTTAAAAATAAATTCCCACAGGCAAGAAATGATTGGCAATATGTTGATTTTGACGAGATTGGTGATAAGCCATTGGCTCCTTTGTTAAGAAGTTTTTTCCAGGAAATTGGACCAACTTATGAAATCCACGTGTCCATCCAGCTTGTCCGTCCCGAACTCGCCGGCATTGGAGTGGTAAAGGTCGACGAAGTAGGCGTCGCTTTTGTCAATGATCCATTCTGGGAGGGATGGGTAAAATAATGGACCTGCCAGATCCAACCCTGCAAACATACATAACTTTCCAAGACAAAGATTATACATTTTGATGATGTCTATGCCAAAATTCGCGTCAACTTTGTTGTCAAAATTATGGCCAAGATTGGCTAAAAACCTACTAAAAAGTTTATAGATACCCTTTTTACAAAAATGTCTGGAACAACCAAGTTAAAAAATATGTCAAAGTTGTCGTCAAAACTATGTTTCAACTTGGGATAAGAATCTGCCAAATTTTGTGAAAATATTGGCTCAACTTGTCATAAGTTGTGTTCAAAATTACACAAGAATCTAATATGTACGTTGAGAAATGTTTAAATTATGCACATACATATTTGCACATACAAAACTGTGGACAACTGTGTCGATCAACTTCCACATATTTGCATAATGGTGGATGGGCTAAAATGTGGACAAGTCTGTGGACAAAGATGTTGACAGAAATGTGGACAAATCTATGTGGGCAAAAATATGGAGGAATTTTTTCAAACAAAATTGTGTACAAATCCATGAATATTTTTTATCCGAAATTCGGGGTATCTTCCTGCCTCCCATCGCCAGCTGGAAGTCCCTCCCAACCCGTCCCGCCAACTGGGCTCCTAAAGATACTAGATATTTGGGTTGAACGATGTCATCTTGTTGTTGGCAAAATTTCCTGAAATGAAAAAAAATTATCACGTTTAGAGCATTTTTGATACAAAAATCTTGAAATAACTATGATCTCTTTGAGGAAGATAGTCGTCCCGGGAAAAACTTGGTCATTAGATGGCTTCCCGCGAAAATTTCGAATTTGCTAGCTATATAATTTCGTGATATATGTCTTTGGTCTATGGTCTATCTTTTCCGAACAGACCATATCAAATTAGATTTTCGAAATCTTGCCATTATTCCCAGTTACGTTGACTTGTGTTAGAAGTCCGTGAATAAGAAAAACTGTTAATTCTCCGGGTCGGTAGGGACTCGCATTCAGGGATGCCGTGTCCAGGTGCCTAACTTCTTCAAGGCCACTGCAAAAAATCATTGGAAATGTAACTATGAACTCAATTCGGAGGATTAAGACACCCGCAGGACTAAATTTTGGTCTGGGGAGTGAAGGAGGCCTTTACTAAAATTGAATTTATGCTTGAAACACTGACAATAAGTATTCCCGCGCCGTCGTATTTAGGGTGAAGTAAGACCAAGCTACTTTGCTACATTTTGCAAATATTCACACATTTGGAGACACGTGCTAAAAATGAAGTTCAATAGTCCTTGTAAAAGTTGTACTATGGATTGAATTTAATAAGTAGAGCAATCCTTTATAAAAAACATTTACCAAAAACGGTCTAATTTTAATCCACAAACCATACAACGACATTGAACTGAACAGGGTGAATCCAATACTTTTGTCCTCAAGTTGAAACCTTAGCTTTGAGCACTAATTATGTAGCACTTGATTTTATCCGGGTTGGAACTAATTTCAAACGGGAGGAGTAAATTTGTACCGCTTGGGAGAGTAATTGCGAAGCTTGCAAAGAAAAAAGCTACACGTAGGTGATCCATCGCAGGTAATAAAATTGGATTAAGTCATGTTCCAATTTTGTGGTAATTTAATTTCTCGAGAAAATTTCACAAGCGAATTTTAGATTTCGAATAAATTGACCACTTTTTAAGAAGGAATCTTCCCCAGTGAAAAGTTTGACTTTAGGTATTCAGCATTTGACAAATGACGGTTGAAAAAAAGTGATTGAAAATGACGTTGATTGGAATGCCGTACATACATAAATGTGTTGTGATGTCACGCGAAAAAAAGAGAAAAACTGGTTTTTATTCGGATGATGAATGAACGATTTTGACAGCTCCGATCTCCTACAATGCTAATTTCTCCATAGCAACTGAATCCAGAGTAACGTGGATTTGATGAGGGGTACAGTTGTGTGTCGATTTTTTTAATGAGTTCCTTAATATATGTGGGATTAAGAGTGGATTACTTTTGAAAAGGGTGACATAATTTTGACAGGGTCCTTAAAAAACATTGGAAATTTGGCAAACTTAGGAAATCTACGTGTCCATTCCGAACTTGCTGGAATTGGAGTGGTAAAGTAGGTGAGATGGGAGATACCTATAAAAATGTGTGCAAAAATGTGTCAAAATTGACTCTAAAATATGTTAAAGAGACCTGCAAAGACAAAAGTCCCGGCCGGGGTTCAAATGTTTATATAAAGAAATAAGGTCAAAGTTTTAGTCAAGTTTACACGCGCAAAAATGTGGACAAAGCGATTGGAAAATCTACACGTGGAAAAATGCGGACAAATTTAAAGGCTCATAAATGTGGACAAATCAGTGGATATTTTTAAATACTTTTTGAGCATTAATTACATATGTACAACTTGCCTCCATACAGCTTGAAATTAATTTCCAAATGGATCCATGAATTTGTGCAGGTTGGCAGACGAAAATAAATTACGAGGACATATGTAAGATGATCCAAACATACCTAAGTAACGAATTTGATTAAGTCAAAGTTCCATTTTTTGGTGGTACTTACATAAATTTTCGGAAATTTTCCGTCATGGGAAAACTATGTAAATGTTTGCAAATTCAATAAGGGGAACATTCCTAGCAGAAAGTTTGATATTGAGGAAATAAGTTGCACTTCATAAATCAGAGAGCAACCCAATAACGTCGGTTGGAATCCGGTACAAATACAAATGTGATGTCACCCAAGAAGGATGAAAAACTGGTTGAGTGCAAATTATTATTCTATTAGTGAATAGCTGATCGATTGATTTATATCAAAATTCTATCAGTATGTACACTGTTAGAAATCTGGTCTGGTAGGTATGTATTGATTCATCGATATTAAAGTTTTTATGGTATTGAAATTATACCACACCGTAGAAATTTACTACCGATATGGTATAACTCTAACACCGAGGTAGTACTAAACGGTGTTATGTACTTAGCAATACCCTGTTGGTTGAGTTATATATGTATGCACTCAAAACAAAAATTTGTCAAATCAACACCGCCGGGGTCAATATATGACTTAACCGCCTTGGTTAAAATTTTGATTCAGAGTTATGACGATTTTGATACCGGTAGTGATAATGTTATAACCAGAAGGAAACATTTCACTACCACTAGGAATCAGAATTGTAACCAAGGCGGTTAAGTCATATATTGACACCGGCGGTGTTGATTTGACAAATTTTTGTTTTGAGTGTGCAGAATGCATATGTTCACACGCATACGTACCTGTTCCCTTTCATTCATTTGATGCATTATGACCGTGAATGTGAGTAGATTTCCTCATAAATCATTTGAATGAAAATGACCGAATGATCCTGTCATCTCAGACGAAGGAGTATGAATGAAGGGATTTTTCACCCTGTGATCAAAGCATAAGAAATGAAGTCAGATGAAGTTAAATACATAAATTTGAAGGAAAATGACTAAATGTGAGTAAAAATCTTCTGACAGAAATCCGAAAGGCTGGATTTTAAATGAAAATATTTTTTTCAATAGGTGTGTATTTACACTCTTAATAATCCGGTAAAGTCACGCAGGTAATGATAATAGATTTGGTAATAATATTTTACCAGGTAGTAAAAATTCGTTGGCATGATGGTGAAACTTTATCACCACACGGTACAACTTATCATTACCACTTTGGTAGAGTCA